GTGCTCTTCGGACATAGTAGGCCGAATCCTTGACTTTTGGTTTTTGTGGAGCATCAGCCAGGCAATCTTTCGCAAAATGATTTGCATGTCCACACTTATGACACACAATCTTTGGTTTGTCCGATTTGGAACTCTGAGAGGGTTCCGGAGTAGTGTTTGGTTTAGTGATGTTTGGTTTGTATGCTGGAGGATTTTCGGAAGTTGGTTTAGGTTCCGAAGCTGAGTGAGTTTGAGTATTGTTTTGGTGAGGAGCATTGAATCAGTTTTGGTATGGTTTGTAAGAGGAGTTTAACGGACGTTTGTACTTCATTGAGAGTAGGGCGAACTCCTGTTGGAAACGGAGTTCAGAGTTCATGGCTTCAAAATCATCAACCAGATAGGTTTGTGTGGGTAAGGTAAGTGCGGATGTTTGAACCAATGGATCAATGGGTGTAAAGGGATCCGAAGTAGATGAGTTCGGAATGGTTGGTTCAAAGGAACTGACAAGGGTAAGAGGACCTCCGGAGAGTTCCCTTATGTTCTAAGCAACATTTGACTCATGTCCTTGAAGTTCATCAAAAAGTTGATAGAGCTTCAACTTTTTCAAGGAACCATTGCTTTGGAGACAAGATTTCACATTACCCCATCCTTTGCCGAGACTGTTAATAAACTTGAGATTGTACTCCAAAGGAGTTTGAACAATCCCATGAGCAGTCATGTTGTTGACAACGATTCGGTAACGGCTGGAAGCTGAGGCCACAGATTCACCTGGAGTGGTAGTGAAGGTGTCGAAGTCGTTGACAACTAAGGTGAGGCGCTTGTCCTTCATGTTTTCGGAACCTTCAATTAGGTCCTGAAGAGTGTCCCATATCTCTTTGGCAGATTTGCACAGCTTGATGTGCTCGAAGAGTGAGGGAGGAACACCAAACACCAATTCACAGAAAGCAACTTGATCAACATGAAGCTTTTCAATATCATCTGTAGTAAGAGGAGCAGGACGAGTTTCATCTTCTCTCATGAGCTGAGCAGCTACATCTCTTACAATTGTTTTTATAGGAACATGTGGACCTTCAGTGACGGATCTCCATATTTCTTCACCTTTTTCTTTGGCAATTAGAAATCTTTCCATTCTAACTTTCCAGTGATCATATTCTTCCCCGACTAGTAATGGGGCACGTGTAGGGCCACCCACACTATTTGCGATTTGCATTGAAATCATTTGCTGAGAATTAGAAGCAGCCATTGAAGTTAAGATATCTTCAAGCTAAAGTGGTATATAGAAGAACTTTTATCCTTGACACAGAAATGGTTGAAACACCAAGGTAATTTCAAACCAACTATAATCTGATCTTTATGGATTCAAAGGACAACCACTCAAGCTCTGATACCAATTGTGAGAACAAGATCGATGCGCAGAGACAAGGTTTGAAAACTCAAACCTTGAGTGAATGCTTGAGATCAATGTCTGTTTGCTAATGAAGGATCAAGTCAAGTCTGGAAAGACCAGTCAAGTCTTAGATATTGTATTCAACAAATGATCAAGTCATTTAATAAGCAATAAGAATAACTGATCAAAGTAAAGATAATAAATGGAGAACAAGAAGAATGTTTGAAGTAAACTTTTAAAGAGAATAACAAAAGTGAGTGAAAGATCCGTTGTTGACTTGTATTGAATGCTCCTATATATAGGAGTGAAAGTTACAGCGAATTAACCCAAGTGTTTACATAGGACCGGACAAAAGAGATCAGTCTGACATTCTGATTGTCCAAATACAACTATAGACTAAATCCTATGAAACGTTACATTAAATACAAGACAAAAGTAATAAATGCACAAAAGACAAAACATTGATGTTCCAGATCAGCATGCATTCCGGACATGAGGGTCAGCTCCGAAATGCCTTCATTCTTCTCATCTTCTTCTTACTTGGTCCGGACAGGTTCCATACCACTCTCTACTTCGGAAAGTACACGCTTCAGAATAGGGACTTAGGATTGCTAGAGGTTCACTTTCAGGTTCTAACACCCTCAATCTACATTATGCATATTACTAGGATACCCACCAAATCATTGTGGCTATCTTTGTCACTCCATCTCAACAAAAAAATCATAGTTTCTCACCATGTTATATTCGATGAGAATATCTTTCATTTCTCAAATCGCGCCCCTCTCCTCCCCTCTCTTATGACTTTCTGAATGTCATACCACATTTACCATACACTATTTATCATTCCACACAACACTCTCCTCCTCCTATCCCATCAATCCAAATCGGCATCCCCTCTCCCACGTCTTCTTCCCCTACCAACTCTTCATCACCTTTTCAATCACCTCTAAACTCATCCATGGCTAATTCACCACTGACCTCCCCACCCCTCCCTTCCTCTATACCAAACTCACCCATACCAACCACTACCACCTTTACTTCTAATCTTCCTATGCAAACTCGTCTCAAAAGGTGGAATTATCAAACCTAAACATCTTTTCTCTCTTCATACTCAACAAATCTCTCCTATTCCTTCCAATCATAAAGCCGCTTTACGTGATCAAAATTGGAATGATGTCATGCTAACTGAGTTTAACGCTTTACATATACAGATACATGGGACTTGGCACCACGTCCCACTGATGAAAATATCATACGTTGTCGTTGGATTTTTCGACATAAATTCCATGCAAACGGAACCCTTGAATGGTACAAAGCACGATTGGTCGTACATGGAAACTCTCAGATTGAAGGCATTGACTGTGCTGAAACGTTCAGTCTTGTGGTTAAACCTACAACAATACGCACGGTACTCAGTCTTGTAATGGTTCGGAATTGGCCAATACATCAACTAGATGTTAAAAACATTTTCCTACACGACGATCTCAAGGATACAATGTACATGCATCGACCGCCTGGGTTGTTTAACCAATCATATCCGTACCACGTGTGCAAACTATGGAAATCACTATATGTTCTAAGAAAATCCATGCGGGCTTGGTATCAACGGCTTGCCAATTATCTTTTACGCCTTGGTTTCATCTGCAGCAAATGTGATAATTCCTTGTTTATTTTTTGTCACCAACATGAGTATGCCTAGTTTCTTCTCTACGTAGATGATATTGTCCTCATCACTTCTTCTTATGCTCTCAAAGACGAGATTATTGGTGCTCTTAAAACCGAAGTTTCTTCTCTACGTAGATGATATTGTCCTCATCACTTCTTCTTATCCAACAATATGTTCCAAACTCAACAAAAGTACATGGAATAAATTTTACATCGGGCCAATATGTCTAACTCTAAAGTCGTCGCTACTTCCATAGACACAAACTCCAAACTCATTGCTACTGACAGTTCTCTTCTGACCGACCCTACTCTCTATCGCAGTTTAGCTGGACCTCTTCAATATGTCACGTTTACAAGACTCGACATTACTTATGTCGTTCAACAAATATGTTTATTCATGCATGCCCCACAAGATTCCCATTTTAATGCAATCAATCGTGTTTTAAGATATTTTAAGGGTACACTTGACCTTGGACTTCATATTTATCCGTCTCAATCATCACAACTTATCTATTACACAGATGCCGACTGGGGAGGCTGTCCGGACACCCGTCGCTCAACATCGGGTTATTGCGTATTCCTAGGAGACAACCTCATATATATCTTGGTCTACTAAACGACAACTTACTCTTTCTCGATCAAGTGTTGAAGCTAAATATCGGGGTGTAGCCAACGTGGTTGCTGAAACATGTTGGCTAAGAAATCTTTTGCTTGAACTTTACACACCATTAAAGCAACAACTTTGGTTTATTGTGACAATGTTTCCGTTGTCTATCTTTCGGGTAATCCAATCGATCATCAACAGACAAAACATATTCAAATGGACATTCATTTTGTTCGGGAAAAAGTAGCTCTTGGTAACATACGTGTCATGCACGTTCCTTCCGCTTTCCGATACGCATATATCTTCACCAAAGGTCTCCCTCGTCAATTGTTTCTTGACTTCAGATCTAGTTTGAGCATCCGGCCACCTCCTGCTCCAACTGAGGAAGGCTATTATTTATGTTTAAAAAGCTTCTATTAGATATTTCTGAATTTGATGTTTCTTTCATTACAATCGTGTGTATTTAGTATAGGAAAAAATGTGGGTATTTTATGTACTTTTTTAATACAATTGCTATTTTTAGAAATGAAAATCATCGGTAAAAATGCTTTGTAATCTGTCGGCAAAACCATTGTTAAATAAATTTGTCACTAATTTGTTACCACAATATCCATTAGTAATCTGTTACTAATCAGCAAAATCTGTCGGTAAATTAGGTCGTATTTGTCAGAAACTTCATCACAAAAATTATCGACAAGAATATACCTACAAATTAGGATCCACTGGAGACCCGTTAGCAGCGGATTAGCAACGGTTTGGGCCTTCGGTAACTAATGACCCTGTTTGATTATATAAATAAAAATACAAGGTACATTTAAAAAAAAAACAATAGCCTTATGCCATGTAAGTATAAAAGAAGCAAATATATGGATAACAATGTGAGTATTTATGATATTCGTCATTTTTGTTTTGATTGCATACAGTAAATCTTTAAACCTAATGTGCATCTATTAAAAATAAATAAATTAAAAAAAACCTATTATTGCCTGTTTAACATATAATATCCGGTAATAATAATATCTTCATACAAATTATTGAGCTTATATATTTATTTTGTACAATTAAAACCATACTAACAAATTTATCAAGTGAACATCAATTACAAGACAGTTTTTTGCAATTTCAACAATTTGGTATCATTCAAAGCACCATTGGACATTGATATATCACCAAATACTAATAATAGAAAACACAACCCACATGACACCCCGACCTTTTCTATACTTAACTTTCCAAATACCAAAAACTCACCTGCTCACCACCAACAACCATTTTCAACCGATAGTACAACTACTACTGCACGAGATACAAACTAATGTAACATGATATCTTAGTACTAGATACTAGGTGTACAACTCTTTATATATGACATCATGTGCCCCTTTGCGCCGCCTTAATATTTGCCCAAAACGACACACTCTCTTTGAATTACAACATATAAAGTTGCAGGTTACAATCGCACAAGTACCAGACGACGGAGATATGCCGGAATATTGTGTGACAGGCGGCACGGGATTCATAGCAGCGTACCTCGTCAAGTCGTTGCTTGAACAAGGCCATACTGTTCGAACCACTGTCAGAGATCCAGGTACTTCATATATATTATCAAGAACAAAGTTTTACAAAAAATAAAAATAATAATAAATAAGGCAAACAAGGCAAGATTTAATTCGTTAATTAGATATTAATGAGGTTGTCGGAATATACGGCAAGATTCAAGGACTATGACCATGTGATTGATTAGCTATTTTGTTTAAGTATGCAAGTGAACAGAAGTATAGCAATCTGATGACGTTTTATGCAACTTTTTATTGTAATTTTCATTAGAAAATGTGGAGAAAGTAGGGTACTTGTTGGAGCTTGAAGGAGCCCATGATCGACTAAAGCTTCTGAAGGCCAATCTGATGGAGGAAGGAAGTTTTGACCAAGCTATAGATGGTGTTGATGGTGTTTTCCACACTGCATCTCCGGTGGTTGTCCCACAAGACAACAATATCCAGGCAAATTTACCTTTAAATTAAAAATCATCAATATCAAAAACCAACAGAAAGTTTGTACGTTTGTTCTAAAGTTGCAAATTAACAAGTTGAGGTTTTATAAAGTTATTCAAAGCTCAAACTTGACTCGTGTACAAGAATGACACTGAAACATATAACAAGATTTAGTAAACATGAAATTACTATGATTTGCAGGAAACACTAATTGATCCATGCATAAAGGGCACCATGAATGTGCTAAGCTCATGCAAGAAGGCAAAAAGTGTGAAAAGGGTAGTGCTCACGTCATCCTGCTCTTCAATAAGATACCGTTATGACGTCCAACAAGTTTCTCCTCTTAATGAATCGGATTGGAGCGACATTGACTACTGCAAAGAGTACAACGTAATGGAACATTTACATATATCAGCAAACTTGAGCATAAGCTATAAACATAGTCTTCATTATCATCATTTAAACTCTTTATGTTCTTCATTACATCCAGCTTTGGTACGCATATGCAAAGACAATAGCAGAGAAAGATGCATGGGATGTAGCAAAGGAAAACGGGATCGATCTAGTTGTCGTGAACCCTTCTTATGTGGTGGGCCCATTGCTAGCACCACAACCAACGAGTACACTTCTAATGATACTGGCCTATATTACAGGTACTAAAAGAAACAATCTTGGTTAGTAAATCTTGATGCATATACAAGACATGACATGAATACATGACATGAAAGAATAAAACAGAGACTCATTTTCGATATTTGTGTCATATGTGAATGGGGTCATTATGATCATCATTAAAAATAGTCATAGAAAAGATTATGTACAGTCCCGTGTAACAAATGGAGTGATCCACATTATGAATAGCAAAATTGTTTATTCTAGAAAATTGTGATATTCTTTATGCAATTTTTGGAAGAACAAAGGGTTTTTTGTAACAAAAAGCAAGGTACGATGGATAAGATATTGTGTTTCACAAACACTTTCATATCAGGAACAGTAGGGGAATACCCGAACACAACAGTAGGATTTGTGCACATAGACGACGTTGTGGCTGCTCATATTTTAGCAATGGAGGAAAAAGAGGCTGAAGGTAGACTCATATGTTCAAGCACAGTGGCTCACTGGTCTGAAGTTATTCAGATGCTTAAATCAAAATACCCATTTTATCCATATATAGACAAGTAAGCACACATACATCTCTTATTTTTCAGGAAATCAAGTATTAGATGTTGAATGCAAGTTACTGAATTTATGTGAATGCTATTAATTAGGTGTAGCAGTCGGAAAGGGGACGACAACCCACATAGCATGGATAGCAGCAAGATATTACAACTGGGGCTACCTCCATTTAAAACACTTGAGCAAATGTTTGATGACTGCATCAAAAGTTTTCAAAAGAAGGGATTTCTGGAAGTTTCATCATAATTAATAAAATAAGAAAATCCTATAAAGGTCATATTGATCTTGATTTCTTGGTATATTAAGTCACTGAATCTTCGTAGTTGATGTAAAAAGGATTATATTTAAGAACATAAAAGACTAATATTAATAATTGTTGCTACATGCATGGCCTTCCGGATGCCTGATAGCGAATTGGATGTATCCCCATCTAATGCACAATCTGAATGGCATGCTGCAAAAGATAGACACACACTAGGTCAGAAAGCGATACCCGGTATTGCTCTCCAATGCCTAAATTAGATGTCAGTTAGAAGTATAGTAAAATTGCTTAAGATGAGAAAGTTCTGCTTTTACCGATGTGCGTTGAGGTTCTTATATACAGGTGCGATAGTCCGAGTTCTTGCACCTTTAACCGGGTGGTGCTTTTGTCCACATGTTGCAAGGGTTGTACCCTTTAATATAATAGTGTTACATTTTTCCGTGTTTTCTGGGATGTTGCATAATACGAGTGATTTTCTTGCCATAATATATTTCTTCTTGGTTTGCTTTTGATTAGGCTAGCCGACCTGATAAGCCCATGGCTTATCATGCCAACCGAACTGTTTTTAGTGATGTCGTATAGTCTTTATGTATGGGTTAACCGTCATACACCATTAAGCCCCCTAGCCCAATTGTTAAAGGCTGTTGGTAAACTGTATTTTTTAATAATTGGGTTTTAAGTGTGCTTTTAAATGGCTTACGTATTGAAGCGTCCTGCGTTGATTTCACGTGTTTGTGTGCCCACGTAACCGCTTAGTCTTTTGGTTTGTCAGCGGTTGATATTTCCGCCTAATTCATCCATGTAAATGCCCATCACATCTGTTGTTCCCCCATTACTTCGTCAGTTATTCTTTTTACTCTTGTTACTTCACCTTCTTTCTTAAAGAATATTTCGCTCTGCTATGCCTACGTTAATTTCAACTGTTACTAAAGACTGTTTGGCTCAGATTTCCAAGAAGCATCATCTTGTCGATGAAGACGTTGCTTCAATCCCCAATAATGTCGCTACAATCGATCATCCTCCTACTGGTAAGATCGTTTTTCACCTTTACTACTCTGAGGCATGTTTAAGGGTTCCTCATTCTCCCTTTTTGGGCAAGTTATTAATGCCTATAGGATTCATACATGTCAACTCAAGCCCAACTCCATATCCAAGATAATTTGCTTTGAGTTGTTGTGGCATGCTTCTCATGTTATGCCCACTGTCAATTTGTTTCAATATTTCTTCCGGATTTGTAGCAGTGGTTCTTGGTTTTACTTAGGTTTTCGGGGGAGAAGTTTCATAGAAGGTCTTCCTGAGTCTATTAAGAAATGGAAGAACGAATTTATTTGGCTCAATGCTTCTCATTTTTCTTATCGTAATGTTTTCCATCTTCTTGGCACTATTGATGACCAGAAGCACCAGGACTTCTGACCTAGCACAGGACATATTGAAAATTTCACGATTAAATTTCGCAGTTGATGTAAAAATGCTTATATTTAAGAACATAAAAGACTAATATTAGTAATCTTAATAGAACTTCCAAATTTCATATTATGGAAGTCTTTTCCAGATGAGTACATTTTTGAAACATACGGTGAAACTGTTGTGATTCCTAACCTTTTTAACGGTAAATGTGAAGTCTAAGCATTCTCAATACATATAAATATAATATATGGCGTGCACATTATAATGAACACTCATTGCATTTAAGATTTCATACATAAAAGCAATAAGATACCTAGAAGTGTAGATCAATTTTTATTCGAATTTGAGCATCCCCAATGATAAATATCGGCATACCCTCAAGGAATTAAATCTGCCCAAAAGACATGTGAATTGGTAAAAGAGAACGTGTCATGCTTCAAAATCAGTATTACCAGAGCTAGCACTTAACATGAACTAAAACCTAAAGATTGTCTTGGATGTAGACATGTAGTCATTTGTCACCTATGCATACAAGAGCTATTACTTGATTTAAGGCATTAATGTAGGGTCAATATGTAAAGATGAAAACAGATACACAAATATTCTATGATATTATTGTTGACCTTAGTTTTTACAGGGGAAGCTTCCAAACTATATATATATATATATATATATATATATATATATATATATATATATATATATATATATATATATATATATATATACATAGTGCCTTTGGGAAGGCAAGACAACGGTTGACGTAGATGTTAGTGTATACTGTATATTATCCCACCTTGTACATTGAGCATTGTATAGTCTAGGCCCATGGTCATATATGTATATGTATTTAATCTCTAGTAACTCTCATTTGAATTCATAGAAATCATTCCTCAAAATGGTATCATAACATTATTCCAATATTCCTTAAAATCTCTCCTATTTTCTCTCATTTTCCTTCTTTCTCATTTTCTCGCACCCATGGCTCCTTCATGCTGACTCCAAAAACCCCAAAATTTATTCATCCTTGTCCTTCAGTGTTCATCATGGGTGATTCAGGAGCAACCAGAGTTGTTCTCTACCCATTGTGAAGCATGTGATGCCCTTATCATATTGATCCAACATATGACGATCCGACTCCGAAACCAACCAATCGAACCTTTCTTAACACGGCCCTTTCTTAACATGATTCAGTGGTCAAAATGTAGCTCTACTCGACCCTTTCTTAACACGATTCATATAACAAATGCTTAGGCTCGTCAAGTGTGGCTAAATATTGGAAATATTTAGTTTCACGATATATGAAATGTATATCTGACCACAGAAATATTATTTTAAGTCATCTCAAATATGTTTTGGCTGTAGTTCGACATTTTCTAGCATTTTAGCCACTAACTTTCCACATATATGTTGGTGATTTTAGTGTTATCAACATATTTTAGTGTAGTTGTTATTAATATTGAGATAGGTTGAGTTATATTTATTCACCGAGGCTCGAAGTGTGGGCTTCACACTTGGGGTGATAAATGTGAACTCATGAATATGGGGGTCCGAGGGTATCACCCCTAGGTACGGGGTTCCAAGGGGCATCGTTCCTAGTGGGGTCTAAGGGGCAGAGCCCCTAGCGGTTATGTCTATATCAGGAAGGAGTCCAGCCGTGCAAATGATGGGTTTTGAGCATAACAAACAATCCTATGTGTGCATGCAACCCTAAATAAATTGATCTATGTTTTCTCTAATTGAACATACAAATTGAACAATGAAGTAGAAACCCTATTACATTAGTATATAATCAAAATACACAATTAGGGTTAAGAAAAATCATACCTCAATTGTTATGTAGTAATAACAATGAAAACCTTGTGTTGTTGAAGCCTTGAGAGCAAGCGCCACAAATGTCACGCCTCTTATGGTTCACACCCAACACTAGCAAAGGAAGTTGATAAAGAAGGAGGAGAGAGGATGAAATTTTTGGACTAACCCTCTAGGGAATCAGTTGGCCGAAAATCATAGGGTTATGCCCTATTTATAGTGCAGTCAGGAAACCCTAGATAAGCCCAAATCCATGATTATCTTAAATCAGGTAATTATCCACTTTCATGATTATCCATTTAGGGATTATTCTAGAACCCTTAAGCTCTAATAAACCGTACATGGCTCTATGGAGGGTTCTAGATTGCCTTATGCTCAACTATTGAACAATTACAATTCAGTCCATGCACTATTAATTGATTCCTTTAATCCCAAAATTAAACTCTAATTAATTTCTGATTAAATATTAATTAAATATTACTATTTCTAATTAATAAATTATTCTCATAATATATTAACAAATCATTTATTTCAATTTATTAATCAAATAATAAGTTCAACCACTCTCTCCAAAAAATCATCATGTCCAGTTGCTAGTTTTGAGGGCAAACCCAAAAGGACTGTGCTACTATCAATTCAAGTATATACCAATTATATTTATGGGCTTAGACACCTAATCCAACAGCAACTTCCCGCAAAAAATAGGTTGTGACATCATGATGATGTTAGATTTGTTTATGTCTAAATAACCATATTTCTAACAATCATCTTGGCGCCAAAACTACATGTAACCGCCATTAACTACATTTTCCTCTTGTATAAGAACACTTTGCATGTTACAAAAAAAAGGGTTACATTCTCTACACTTGAAATTTTTTCATCTGGTTCTCTTTATCTCACCAAACACAAAATAGCAAGGTACTTTCTATGTTTCATATTTAGAAATGGCCTGACTTACAAATTTTCATTCTTGGATTATCTCAAATCTGATTTCGTGACACCCTAGGCTATAGGGTCGAAATCATTAATTTTGGAAAGTGATTGTAATCACGATCCTAGGAATTATCCAAGTATATTGATATTCTCAAGACCCCAAAATCTAACAATATCCGCTTTATGTTTGTGTTCCACTTACTATAAACCAAAGAAATATGATTATAGTCAATTGGTGTTGCGTTTTTAGTAAAAAAAACATATCATGATTATTGTGGTTTACAAACAGAATCGAACCAAATAGAAACCAAACCACGTCTAAAGCCTCAAACCGCACTTAGACGTTTTAACAAGCAAAAGATTGATCTATGCGATTTTTGGTGCGATTTTAGCCACAAAAAAAAGCGCACCAACGCACACCCCAACTAAAACAATATTTAATTTATGCAAGCAAACAAGGTGACTTTTGGTTTTGTGTTTACATGACTAGAATTACCAAACTTATATTCTCCTATATTGAACTTAATTACATAAACATAAGGTTAATTAACATGCAACTATATAATTTCGGGCACACAATATGTTGATCCAACTAATTGTATTAGTCCATAAAACTATTGGATTAGGCACAACTAGTGGTTTGGCAATACAATATCTTACAATTAAACCATTATATATTGTTACACATTTAGTATTACAAATTAGGAATATTGTATCTTAATTCAACTAACTATCTTAATTCTTACACTAATTGAACTCGAAAAGGTGATTAAGTTTGCAATAATGTATCTTAGCTGTAATAACAAAAAAGAAAGTAAAACTCATATTCAAG